CATACAAAGTATGGTACAGACCATAGCAATGTGCAGCATACAAAGTATGGAACAGACTATAGCAATATACCACATACAAAGTATGGAACAGACTATAGCAATATACCACATACAAAGTATGGAACAGACTATAGCAATATACCACATACAAAGTATGGCACAAACCAATATATTACAGCAATATAAAACCTACAAAGTATGACGTAGACAAATAGCAAAAATGGTCTTCTGCTTCATCGATGACACAAACCAGGTCATTTTAGGTCAAATCTGTATACATCTCTGGTCAATCAGATCGTATCACGCGTCCATTAAACACTGATAGTTTGATTTGAAAGTTAAAAAAAAACCACATAGCATCATCACACAAAGACAGAATTCACTTTCATTATAAAATGACGTCAACAGGAAGTAATGATACACCAAACGAAATAAAAACATCACGAACACTCTACAAATAACTGAGAGCGACACGAATTGATCAGGACGGGTAAACTACTCGTGCACAACATGTAGTCCCATTGAAAACGGTTACAAATGTATGTAAGATTTGAAAGGTCTTCTATAATGCTTAAATATATCTGGAGATTGAGAATATGATGGTAATAATAATAATAATAATAATAATAATAATTCGAGGTTCTTATATACCGCTTTATCACAGCCTAGTTCGTAGGTCGATACCTTTCTCAACTCCCTTGGGAGCATACAGCCGGAGCTGCCATTTCGGCGCTAACAGCTAGCATTCAACAATTCTAGCACTGCCCAACCACGTACTCATTTACAGCTGAGTAGACTGGAATAAGCGGAGGAAAGTACCTTACTCAAATATACAACACAGTGCCGTGCCGTGACTCGAACCCGAAATCCTTCGGTCACGAGCCCGGCGTTCTACCACTGGACTGTCGTGCTTCCAAATATATTTTTTTACTGTGTATGTAGCCCATATATATATATATATATATATATATAGATATAATTATATACATATATTATTGATATTTTACCTTGGACACTATTGAACCTATTGCCATGATTAAAAAGCGGGAAACTGATTTATAGAATAGATTCGATAACATCTACTCGGTAGTGCGAAAGTACAATCAATGGGGAAAGTGATATTGACTATTTCAACAAAATCATGTATTTACATTTTTTTCATTAATGGCTATGTGATGTTAATAGAATAAAACAGTATCTAAAATCAAGACAAACATAGAAAAGCTATAAGCAAAAATAACTTAAGTATTTACAATTCAGTTAATAATGTCATATTATCAATCCCTGTTAAAATGTAATAACCTTGGACTTCCTTAATCATTTCCTTTCGGCTCCATTTATGTCAATCAACAAGATACTACCAAAAAAGGCAGCTTCATAATTTGGAAGTATTTTATGACGATACATCCTTTAACCTTTAACTAATTCATCCCTACATATCTGACCTGGACTTGCCCAGTCTTTGATTTGGTAAGGTTAAAATGTGACTTTGGGGGTGAATGGGTTAAATATTGTAACAAGGGTTTTTGTATCGGAGTAGCTGCAATCTACGCCTCTACTGTGTGACCGACCTTAATCTCCACAATGGTTTTAAGTGGTTCTAAAGATTAAAGACAAATTAACTGACAATTAAGGAATAATTGTTTTTTATTTCCATTTTTTATTTTTTATTTTTGTGATTGAAAAACATTCTTGGATATGACACCATGAACGATAATACCAAATGTGGTTAAGAAATCAATAAACACCGATGTTTTAATGCCTTATCATGTCCTATTTCTGTGTACCCGTTTCGAGTTGAGTTGTCTTTCTTTACCGACAATATCATATATTTTATTTTCATTATATGCCATTTATAAAGTCGATTCAACAACTGGACGACTATTCAACTCTATTTTTCAGTACAGTTCTGTCAATTTATATGCTGTTACAAGTATTTGATTAAAAGTCTGTTTGAAAGTTATCTAAGTATTTGAACATGAAATAGATATAGAACTGTTTCGATTTAAGCGTCGATAGAATTAATAGATTTGAGAGAAATTAAATCCGGAATGATTTATTTTGTCCATCCCCTTTTTATTACATGTATACCAGATAAGCTTGTAGAAATCCCCGCTGTTTAGTCCAATGCTACGCCATATTTCCAAACAAGGTAAGATTGACTTCCTGTTAGAAATACTGTCTACTACTGTATATAGGTCATACATAACGCCACTTACCCGAGTGATGATATATAGGCCTAGTATCATCGTGAACTGGTCATTTTATTAGAATAATGATAATAAAATGAAAATAAACTATGAAATGTTTTAAAGAAAATATTAAAAGCCTGAAACGAAATTTCATAGAGAATTGTTTTGGTAGTGAACTTTCAAGGCATAAATCTCGAATCATTGGGAAAATTTTTTCTTTATTTGATATGCATATTGAAAGCAGAGCCACGCAGTATCGAACAGGATGGGAGATATGATATGGTTATATCACAATCTCAGAGTGATATGTTGACTCTCTCTATCACTTCAGATCCATAAGTGGTATAGCTTTGTGCTGGGTATTAGGTCGGAAGGTCACGACTTCCTTATCAGCGCCACACGGCCAGTGTGTGGTATTAATATATGTTATTTACAGTCCTGTGTTAAATGAAGACCCGATTTTACAGCTTTATAGCAGTTGTATGGGCGTGTGAATGCTGGGTCTGACTACAGTGAGATCCCCTGTTTATAAGCCCAGTAAATAACTGGCGAACACACAAATTACAGTTTAAACAAAGGAAAATACATCCCAAATAACAAAAACCGTCTTCACATAGAACAGGCTTTCTCACACATATCATGTTTGTCTAGTAATTATACATAGGTTAGGTGTGTCTATAGCAATTAATGCTGACAGTGCAAGTTAAAAAGCTTTCAATTGAGATTACATGTTTTTTCCATATATTTTTTTCTGGTTTTGAGATTTTCCCCGTCTCTTCCGACTATCGTTTCTAATGAAGTGCCGACATTTTAGTTTGGTCCTTGCTTGGTTCGAGTATGGGTATCGCTGGGTATAAAAAGCGCATTACCCGTCGAACCGGTTATCATTTGTTCAACGTATATATTTTGTTTAATCTCAATTGAGAGTTTTTTAACTTGCACTGCCAGCTTTAAGTATTGTAACGTTACATCGTTTTTACAACAGTTTAATATGTTAGGTGTTTTGTGACGTTCAACTATTTTTTTATTTTTTTTGAAAAGAACTCTGTTGTGTTTGTTTATTCAGCGTCCTCGCAACAGCTAAGATCATATGAAGGTGGGCGCTTAGGGAAACACTACCGGAAAGAAAGAATAAGGAAGTGAGAAAAGAAGGGAACCAGATCAATTGTGCTTCCGTAACGTCCTATAAGCAGACGATTCGAAAAAACAGTCACTAGTCTGCAAAGGGCCCTTCATAAAAGCAAGGGTCCCATGGGGCCTGTTCTTTTCCTGAACCTGCAGGTAGAATGATCATCAGAACTGAAATACCACTATCCAGAATTCACATAGTATAAATGTCGTACTGTAATGTGACATACCCTGGTTGTGAAATATTCTAATATTTGTGTTATCATGCTGTTAAGTAAGCAGACTTCGTTATCATCTTCATTTGTAATGGTGTCTCCAGCCGTTGATGGAAACCGGAAGCGAATGTTTATCAAAGCGGCCTTTGTTGTGATGAAAATATGGCTATATGAACCTGAGAAAGAGATACGGACGGAGACGATGTCGAGGTTAATCACACTTCCTCGTGTCCATATAGCCAAATGTTAACCGAGATAAAAGCCCTTAGTTGTTTTATAGGATGCTGGATATGGTTTTAATCACTAAACAAGATGACATGTATGAAAATTATACGGAGAAAAGGGCTGCATTTTGCAGAGAGAATTGTGACGTTACAATTGAACTGACGTCATCAAGTGAATATCAATCACCCTGCTGTTTCTGAAAATAGTAACACCGGGTTAATATCACAAATCCAACCAATGAAAATGCAGGGAAATGGGTTCACCTAATATTAAAGAATCTCTGTACGTTATATAAATGAGCGTAATTGGAATGGAGATATATTAAGATAACAATGGAATGACGTCACAATTGAATTCAGAATGACATGTTTATTTTCCTCAATATTTCATATAATACTTTCATATTTATCTCAATTGAAAAATAAACTTTGGCTTTCATTATCCTCCGACCACACCTATATCTTAATATTATTTGAATTTGAGACATGATTTAAAATGAAAAAACGAAAAATGATGCTATGGAAAGAGAATAAATATAGAACATGAGTCAGTATCTACAAAATCACCGTGTGGGTGTTTGCGTACTATAGTTCCTTCTATTATCATTTGATTCATTTTCTGTCAACATGTGTCGTCGAATTACTTCTAAGAGGGTTGGATGTGACCTATGAACTTTAATTGCTGGAATGGGTTTTTGAGTCATATGTGAATAGGTGTAGTCGGATAATGTCTATTGTATTGGAACTATACAGAGCGGAACGATCAGTTACAGAGTGCTTGGCCATAGATTAGATTAAAACACACACACACACCTGACAATATCAAAAGAGTAGCCATTAAAACACAAGGCGATGTTCTCGATGGTGTGTTTACCCTAGTTCTTTGGTATATCTGTTTGTACATAGTAACTACACTTGGTACTCAGCAAGCACAATATCAGTGAAATCCTATTATAATGAGTCATTTATCTGAAGTATAAGCAGAATTGTTTATATCTGTTCCGATTCGTACATAACAAAAATAATCTTGTTCAGAAAAGTAAACACGAATGTGTGGAATCCTCTTTCCGCAATATGAATGTATCACGTATAGCAAGACAGTGTTAGGCTACGCATAATGTTACGTATATCAGGTAACAGCGCGACTTAGATTTCATATAAATGATCATCAACCTAGAAAAAATACACACAGATATCAACTTATGATAAGTATTCATGATGTAAATTTTCTGCAGTCTTACCTTTATTCTCCTCATCGTTTATAAAGCCATCCTCCATTTTGTGTATACCTGTGCACTACTGAACAGGTAGACATACCTTTGTTTCCTGGCCAGTTGTATGCCCCGTTGGTGATAAATAGCCTAACTCACCTACCCACCATTGGAACGCTGGCTACATCCCCAGCCTGACCAGGTATTCTCCTCCCCTCTAGAGATAAATGTCCCGAAAAATCTTACCTGGCTAATCCGACATAGGTACAGACCACACTCGGTTATAGTAGTAGTTCACTCAAACGCAGTTGAATGCAGTTTAGCTGAACATAATGCAGCACTTACCCAGGTAGGATCCAACTGGATTGTGAAAGGTATTTTTAGACTCGGGCGACACGACACCAGAATCATCAAAGCGACAAAGGGTGTACCATGCACCACTGCGTTTTAAACTTGTAGTTGCTGTTTACATTTTTTTACATTTTAGTTTCTGTAGAAGCGTTATATAACCCAGTCACATTGTTATTGTAAGCAATGAAAGAAAGGGAGCTGCCTCATCATGTGCAACAACGCACCACTTGTGTTTAATCCATCCCCTCACCCCATTTGAGATCCCGTTCGTGACAAAATGGCACATTTATATAAACAAGAATCATTCTCCACTATCAACATTTCGTAAAACAGATAAACCAAATGATTAGACATCCACTCAGTATTAGTTGTCATCCTCAACATATTTAAGAAAATACTTTTAAAAATATTAATATTTCAAAGATATCTATAATTTCCATTACTATTCTTTCAGAATTAATAAATTAAACAATTAACCTAGACGCTTGTAATAGACAATTAAATTAAATCAATTTGAACAAGCGATAATCAATTATAGTCTCTTCATTGGATTCCCATATACTTTTAAAATTAACGAGAAGTTGCTGTATACCCGGAAAACTTCGACCAGTCAAACGTTCACCCTTCACCGATAAAACTTCGCACTTCGCCGATAAAATCCACATTCGCCAAGCCTTAATTTCGCCCTTCGCCGATAAAATAAATAATCGCACAGCATTCACTTTGTCCTTCACATTTAATACCTAAGTGGAATGATTTGATAACTAGTTTTGTGGCTGTAATGAACTCTCCCTCCCAATGGAGGGCGAAAATGGCGACAGGTAAACTGCAGCGAAAATGTCCTGGTATACAGTATACACTTTCCTGGATATTTAGCGGAAGCTACAATAATGTATCATGGCGGTGTTGATGCCTGCATAAAGCGCTTACTCTTCCAGAGCATCTGGGATATCATTTTGTATAATCGCGGTTTCATGTCTTTCCATTTCTATTAATATCAGCTTCCCATTTATTTCTTAATTCAAACAATTTGTGTTTATGGTACGGTAATTGTATATATATATATATTTTTATAACTTACTCACATCAGTATGGGTTGTATTTTATAATAACTGTATACAAAGAATATATAGAAATAACAGTTCTAATAGCCATAATATTCCAGAAATGGATTATATTCCTAAATGTCCAACGACCAGTTCAATCCAATTACGTCATTAAAGTTTTGTTTTTAACTTCGACTTCAGCATTTGGACATATCTAATTACTTATGATGTATTTTCCCTTTCAGCATTTTCTATTAATTACGCTTATATAAATAGGGTTAATGTGGCTATAAACAATACAAACACATTTATAATGTAGCACTGTAAATAGTTACGGGTTCTTTAATCTAGACATCCGAAATAAAGGACTTTCGGAATAATCTATAATCGTACATTGATTGATTGTTAAAATACCTTTCCAATGCACGTACCTCTTTGCCAAATAAGTGTGAATTATTATTTTTAAATGGATTTGATTATGCATTAAGATTTTGTACCATTAAGGAAGGTTGTAATATTCCTGACAAAACGTTTACTGTGTGTATATTAATACTAAGTCTGATACAGTTTATACACCAAAACCACAAACAAACCTAACCAAACCAAAACTAATATACATGCATACGCAAAAAGTGACAAATACCTGTGTGTAATACACATAACGACAGGTATATAAATACACCCAAACATATATCTGATTTACATAGTCGCCAACTATTGAATGCATGCCAATAAATAGAAGTCTGAATACCACTTCCGCGTCGAGTACTTCGATCGGTGTATGTATGTAACGTGTTTCCTCGAGGTTTCTGTCAAATTGAATTCTCGCCATGTATCACAAGTATAGACGTATTTTTAACTTTGATATTTGAAAGGTTTTTATGGCAAGCTTTAATATACAAAATGTAGTCACTCAGACCAAAACAGAACTACATAGACATCAAAACAGTTCGTGTTGTCCGCCAAGTTCAAAATTATTTATCATTTCAAAATCAATTAATTAAAAATATACATATATAAAAAAAAATCATATTCATAGACTGGATGTGTCTGTCTCTATATATGTTTTTATTGCAAATTTCAATAATTCAAAAGCAGACAATAACATGGTTAACCATAATAATCTCTATGTGAATGCATACATTATACATATTACACTATAATAGTTACGAGTACATTTCGTGTCAGCTGTAAAGGCTGTACCCCTTGCCAAATCTTTTTAACTACAAGCTGTCTTTGTCAGTACACTTTGCTGAAATGAAATGCATCAACAGGGAAGAAATTATGAACATCCAGAACACCCTTGTTCCCCGGAAGAATGACCGTTTCCCTGACAACCTGTCGCACCTGTTTAGATGCCTTCTGACAAAATTTCGGTCACTAATGATAAAAAATACTGAGAACAAGTTTTATTCACGGTAGACATGGACAGTCAATATAGTTAAAAAATCAAGTCAAAATGAAAATAGAAAGTTCTTCCGTTTAGATTGAGGTCTCCACAGAAAACCAGCACCAACTTTGTGGTTAATTGATTGACATGACACATCTTCCATTAAGATATTTTTTTTAATATTTAGAACTTGTTTTAAAAAGCAACTCGACGTCTAGACGTGTAATCTACATAAACATGGGGAGGGTGTTACGTCACTAATGGGAAAAGGATTGTGAAATTAAGGGTTTCCGCTTGTTTATATAGGGTGTGGTAGTATGGAAACTGCAATGGTCGTATTGAAGGTAAACTTCAGAGACTTTTGTAGCGAGATGATCGTAAATATCATAGACTTTTGTAGCGAAATGATCGTAAATATCATAGACTTTTGTAGCTAGATGATCGTAAATATCATAGACTTTTGTAGCGAAATGATCGTAATCGTAATGTAAGTAAAAATCATTGACTTTTGTAGCGAGATGATCGTAAATATCATAGACTTTTGTAGCGAGATGATCGTAATTGTAAGATAGGTAATTATGTATATAGTGTCATAGACTTTTGTATCGAGATGATCGTCATGTAGGAAATAGCATAGACTTATAGCGAGATGATCGTCATATATGAAATAGCATAGACTTATAGCGAGATGATCGTCATATAGGAAATATCATAGACTTATAGCGAGATGATCGTCATATAGGAAATATCATAGACATTTGTAGTGATGTGACCGTCATTGCCTTCATCATAGACATTTGTAGTGATGTGACCGTCATTGCCTTCATCATAGACATTTGTAGTGATGTGACCGTCATTGCCTTCATCATAGACATTTGTAGTGATGTGACCGTCATTGCCTTCATCATAGACATTTGTAGTGATGTGACCGTCATTGCCTTCATCATAGACATTTGTAGTGATGTGACCGTCATTGCCTTCATCATAGACATTTGTAGTGATGTGACCGTCATTGCCTTCATCATAGACATTTGTAGTGATGTGACCGTCATTGCCTTCATCATAGACATTTGTAGTGATGTGACCGTCATTGCCTTCATCATAGACATTTGTAGTGATGTGACCGTCATTGCCTTCATCATAGACATTTGTAGTGATGTGACCGTCATTGCCTTCATCATAGACATTTGTAGTGATGTGACCGTCATTGCCTTCATCATAGACATTTGTAGTGATGTGACCGTCATTGCCTTCATCATAGACATTTGTAGTGATGTGACCGTCATTGCCTTCATCATAGACATTTGTAGTGATGTGACCGTCATTGCCTTCATCATAGACATTTGTAGTGATGTGACCGTCATTGCCTTCATCATAGACATTTGTAGTGATGTGACCGTCATTGCCTTCATCATAGACATTTGTAGTGATGTGACCGTCATTGCCTTCATCATAGACATTTGTAGTGATGTGACCGTCATTGCCTTCATCATAGACATTTGTAGTGATGTGACCGTCATTGCCTTCATCATAGACATTTGTAGTGATGTGACCGTCATTGCCTTCATCATAGACATTTGTAGTGATGTGACCGTCATTGCCTTCATCATAGACATTTGTAGTGATGTGACCGTCATTGCCTTCATCATAGACATTTGTAGTGATGTGACCGTCATTGCCTTCATCATAGACATTTGTAGTGATGTGACCGTCATTGCCTTCATCATAGACATTTGTAGTGATGTGACCGTCATTGCCTTCATCATAGACATTTGTAGTGATGTGACCGTCATTGCCTTCATCATAGACATTTGTAGTGATGTGACCGTCATTGCCTTCATCATAGACATTTGTAGTGATGTGACCGTCATTGCCTTCATCATAGACATTTGTAGTGATGTGACCGTCATTGCCTTCATCATAGACATTTGTAGTGATGTGACCGTCATTGCCTTCATCATAGACATTTGTAGTGATGTGACCGTCATTGCCTTCATCATAGACATTTGTAGTGATGTGACCGTCATTGCCTTCATCATAGACATTTGTAGTGATGTGACCGTCATTGCCTTCATCATAGACATTTGTAGTGATGTGACCGTCATTGCCTTCATCATAGACATGTGTAGTGATGTGACCGTCATTGCCTTCATCATAGACATGTGTAGTGATGTGACCGTCATTGCCTTCATCATAGACATGTGTAGTGATGTGACCGTCATTGCCTTCATCATAGACATGTGTAGTGATGTGACCGTCATTGCCTTCATCATAGACATGTGTAGTGATGTGACCGTCATTGCCTTCATCATAGACATGTGTAGTGATGTGACCGTCATTGCCTTCATCATAGACATGTGTAGTGATGTGACCGTCATTGCCTTCATCATAGACATGTGTAGTGATGTGACCGTCATTGCCTTCATCAT